TTGTTGAACAGTACTGTATGGATACTTAGCCCCTAAATATGTGGGATTTTCCCAGAAACATGTTTGAGCTATTTTTAGATGGAAGGAAATTCCAGTGTTTGAGGTAGCTTGATTAATGGTTGGTGGGCAAGCAGCCAGGAATAGTCCATTTTGATGACAGGGATACTTGTTTTATGATTTGAAAAACAATTATCTTTTCAAATAATTAAAAAATTATGGTTACTGTCCTGAAGTGAAAAAAATGGGTTTGTTTGTGTACAGTTGCTCATAAATATTAAACATTTTGCAGTTTTAATTATTAGAAACATTTGGTAGGATCATGGAGAAATGAAGTTTAATCTTATTTTTGCCCATGTTAGGATTCAGCATTTCAAATAGTGCGTAAATGATACTTATATGAAATCATCATGATAAGGGAATTTTCCGAAATGTGAATGAAATTTTCAGTTATAAAATGTTGGTGATTTGCATTAAGTATAAGAGACATTGTTTTAAGTCTTGAAATGCATTTACATCAAATGAGGTAGGTGAGTCATAGTGTTAGTGAAAAAAATATTTAATAATGATAATGGTGATAATGATATTTGATAAGGATAAGCATATGAATAAGGATAATGATAATAAATCAGGAGTAGGTTTGGAAACTGTTTCCATTCTGGTTCAAATATATACATGCTGAATTCTTTGTCGACTGTAGTTAGATGCCCTGGAATTAATGTTGATGTATAAAATAATATCACTGGTAGCAAACAATTGACTAACACATTATTATTTCTATACTACTGTTGAATAATTGTTGATTATTTATTGTTTATTTGCAATAATAAGTGATATACTTGATATAAGACACACCTCATTTTTAATTACCTCGTATTTAATTGGCTAGTTATAACTTTGATTTTAATCTGATTGGTCAGTTTTTATTTGCTTTCTGTAATATACTTCTGTAAATATTGTAAACATATATGGATGGGTGAGATTTTCTCACTAGTATTCTTGAAAATGATCAATTAGATCAAAATGTTGAATCTCAAAATGTCTTTCTCTTTTCAGAGTTACTGTCTTTTTGTTACATTTTTATTTTATACATATGCTTTGGCCAGCAGTCTATTGGCTTCATCATTTGTTGTTGAACCAACGTTTTTGTATAAAGAATGACATAAAAAATAAAACATTCAAAAAATTTATAGAAAAACAAAAATTAGATGACAGTAATTAACAAAAAAAATTAGACAATTCATTTACAATACAAATCGGGTTTTTTTTTTAATTCTGGAAAGATCTTTCAAACAATTTATGTACTTCCAAGAGGTTCGAATTTGTTGTGTAAAACATAATATAAAGAAAGAAATTGTAGAAATAAAAGAAAGTGAAATTCTCAAATTCATTATTAAAATTGATGTTAAAGGTTATGTTATGTGAAAAATAATTGTTGGGTTTAATCTTCTTTCTGGTTTTCAATCTGTTTCCACAACACTTATACCTATTATTAATAATGCAAGGGGCTGTGTGTAGAATGGTGGAATTCCTGAAAAAACATGAATAACAATACAGTACTAGCTTGTAGAATTGACACAAAGGCTGAATGGTTCATTGCATCAGAACAGTTCTAGCACAAAATTACTGTGTGAGGTATATTCCATTTTTAGCGGGAAAATCCAAAATGTACCAAAATACCAAATTTAAACCATGTCAGTTAATAGAGAAATTACATTTTAGTAGGATGATCTTGGTTGAAAAACTGATGAACACAGTAGGCTTTGTCAAATTATTTAATATATAATATAATGGTTGTATTTATTTTTTTAATTCGTAAGAGTATCTGATGATTAAATATACTTTTTGTTTTTGCGTTCAACAGATGCAAGACCACTTGAAAAATGATTGTGCTAAGCAATCATCCCTTTGCAATTTTTCCAGTTATGGTTGCAAATTTAGGGTGAGTTATTCTTTGTTGACAACTTGCTTTTTACTAATAAAAATTTGTTGTTAAATGTATTTATATTTTCAATTTTACATCTACTTTATCAATTAATAAGTAGAAATATTTGAATTGACATCTGCCAGCAAATATCAATATAACAACAGCAGTATTTATGTGTCTTAAAAAAAATTGCTGTGGCAGAGATACGGTATTGTATCTTAACTACTGTTTGCTAAAGGTACGGTAATTTGTGTTATCAATAAATTGTGCCGCCAGTGTGACAGCATCATAAAAAATACATTATTTTTTTCTTTCTTTCCTTCTTGTTTTCTTTTCTTTCTTTTTCCCTTTTCCTTTTTATTTAATTGAAAACAAATAACCTACAGTATTTAAAGATCATTTTCAGCTGCCACTCTTTGGAACCCTGATACCGAATTACCCTCAGTTACTATTTTGCTGTTTTTAAGACCAAACTCACACACACTTTTTTGAAATCTAAACATGCACAGCGTCTTAGATTTTTACTTCAGTTTGGTGATATTGGCACCTTGTAAATTATTATTATTATAACTCTAAATTTAATATTAATTCATTGCATTAGACCGTAGAGTGTTTTTCTCATGTTACTCTTTGTAATTTAAATGAATGTTATGTTAAAGTTGTTGAATTGTTGTTGTTAGGGTTTTCCTATCGATATGAAAAAGCACATGGCTGAGGACTCCGATCGTCATATGGAGATGGTGACTAAGTACACTGCACAGCTGGAGTTGAAATACACTGAATCAATGCGCATGGTGAGTGAACAACAGAGCAAGATGAACCTGATGGAGAGAAAACAGGAGGAAACTGAAAAAGAACTAAAAACACTCAAAGAGAAAAGCCTTAAGAATGAGAAGCAGCTTCAGAATCTGCAGGTGTGTTAAGAATTTGACATAAAGTGAACAACATTTGAAAAAAATCAGAAGTAGGAGACTCGGAAAATTTTTGTTTTGTTTTTACCGTTGCCATGATGGAAAACATCAATATTTTATCAGTTCATGAAATAAAAATCATAGTCCTGAGGTTATGTTAACATTATACAAATCTACTTTTAAATGCGAAGCGTTGCATACTGGCCTAAATATAAAATCTAGTCTGATATACTGTAAAAATGTGTTGTACCAAAATATGGTTAGGATTTTTATAAACACACACACAAGTTAGGATAGCCACATGGCCCCTTCTTACCTTTTTTTTCTACATCGCAAACCCATATAGTATTAGTTACACATTGTAATAATATTAATTAACTATATAAGCTACAGTGCAGCCCTGACACAGATCTAGTTTTGTTTTTACCATTTACCATTGCCATGGAAACACAATTTTAGAATATGGAAGTACTGTATTCAAAAGGGATTTCCCCTTTGCTGCTGTGGCTGATAGATGCTAAATAGTATGTTTTTTTCTGAATGGTATGTTTTAATATCATGTATACTGCAGTATTATTACAATACAGGGGCATACTTTAGGCTTGTTTTGAGAGGGGGGGGGGGTTGTTTGGAAATTGAAAATTCGGAACTAAATTGGCACCCCCTCCCCCTTCCAGCATATGCCAATGTCATGGATAAGTATAAGATGCCAACCAGATTTAGATTCTGCAAATAAGGGAAAGGCGGTTACAAGGTATTAATTGAAGAATTATTTTTCATAAATTTAATGTTTATATAATGTGTAAACCATTTTATTTTTTGTCTTCTTGGCGCTTGTTGTAGTTTTCTCCCTCCACAAGACAGGATTACTAGAAAGTTCATACTTTATTTATCACTTTAGAGGCTCTTTTTGAATCTGGTAATAGACAGAAAAGAGGAACAATATATTAAATAACAGATAAGATAACAAAAAGTTCCGAAAATAAATCACATTTTCTCCACATCATACTATCTACTAACACATAGAGAATGATCGCGAGTCGGTTGGATGTCATTACCGACTTAGAGAAGAAAGTTGCTGCAGCATCAAACAAAGACGACATCTCTGAAATAAGGGCACTCTTGATCACTGAGCAAGATGCAGTTAAGGACATTAGACAAAAACTTCAAATGATGGAAGATTCTCGTTTTGTGGGTGTATCTGTCACAGGAGCATCTGGTGGTATTGGTGCTGCACAGTTAAGTGAGTACTATTTCCATTTTACAGCATAAGAAGATAATAATATCGTAGAGCTTTATGAACTAGTATGAGGATTCACCATACCTGAACAGTACTTTGAAAGACTTCGTGTTTTTTTTTTGAAGACTATTAGACTAAAATTAAATTCCTATTATCATTATAAGTAAAGTGTAAAGTTCAATTATCTGCTAAAATTTTGATTTTCTGTTTGATTTTTGTACCTGAATTGAATGGTCTTCAATACACAGTTCCTAAGGAATACACAGTCACCTACGTCTCAAGTCCCTGAATAGCGGACCCTACACTGCCTTAAGCAACCAAAATCTCCTGCAAGTTAAATATAGTAGTCTTCCTGAAGTTAGTTGACTTAATAGCAAAATACAATATAATAAGTTTTGTTAGAATGCTCATAAAACCAGTTATTTCTGAAGAGATTTCTCCCAACTTGGAACCCCTGGCAGTTGGTACTATTTTTTGTGATTAATTTCAATTTATTTCCTTCCACAACCAACAGCAAGTACACTCACCAATAGGATGAGTTTTTTTTCAGTTGTGAGAATAACAACCATGATCTTTCATGACTTGAACAAATAAAATCATGATTTCTCATAGGATTTGAGAAACAAATCATGATTTTAAATTCTCACATGATTTTAATAAACAAAATCATGACCTCACAGGATTTGAGAAAAATATCATGATCTTAACATTTCAACAAATAAAATCATGATATCTCACATTATATAAACTCATGATCTCATGAGATTTAAAACAGTAAAATCATGGTTTCTCACAGGATTTAAAGTAAAAATGTCATAAACTCTAACATTTCAAAAGTAAAATCATGATCTCACAAGTTGAGAAAAATATCATGATCTCTGACATGGTTTCAACAAATAGAATATGATGCTGTACCAGAGAATTTGAGAAAGATATCATGGTCTCTAACATTATTTCAACAAGTAAAATTGTGATCTTGCAAGTAAAATCATGATCTTAATGGATTTGAGAAAAAATCTTGACCCTACTTGATTTGGGAATCAAAAGGCACAGTCTCATAGGATTTGAGAAAGAAGTCATAATCCCTCATGGGATTTTAGAAAGAAGTCAAAATCCCTCGCAGGATTTGAGGAAGAAGTCAATCCCTCATAGGATTTGAGGAGGAAGTCATAATCCCTCATAAGATTTGAGAAAAAAGGTGATATTCTCACCCAAGATTTGTGAAGAAAACCCATGGCGTCTCACATGATTTGAGAAAGAATTCCTAAGCTCACAAGATTTTGCGGTAAATGATCATGAGAAAATGTTCAGTGTCTCAGGATTTGAAGATAAAAAGGATTTGATTTTAGAGTGAAGTAAGATGTCAGGTTGTCGTAAGTATACTGTAGTTGTCTGCTGCTAAATGAGGAGGAAAGAATGTTACATCATTATTTATTTTCAGTAGAGTAATAATAAAGTAAGTAGTGTTTGAAAAACTTGCGAGAAGTTGATGAAACTATTATGTTGGTAATAGATTTTACAATAATACTTTACTGTGTTACTGTACAACCAAAATAAAATAGTTATCAGTAACCATTGTTTGATGGTCTTCTATTACAACTGTTGACTTTTTCGAAAGGGTAATAACTAAGAGAAAAAGATACCATTAGAATGTAAATTGGTATTTTAATAGAATGAAAGATTAACTTATATCAAAAAAGTAATCTGATAATCAGATATTTGAACTCTTCTTGGCCTTAACCTCATAGGGTTTGAAAAATGGTCTTATGTAGAAATGTAGAATCGGGCATGTATGATACATTGTTGTTTTACATTTTAATTTTTTTGTGCAAAAGTTAATTTATTTTCAGATAAACAAAATCAACATAATTCTAATAATTATTAATATTATTGATATTATTTGTTAATATTACTGTTTTTACTATTTAGATAACTTCCATAGCCGAATCACCACTCTCGATAAAGATGTTGGGCTTCATTCCGTTCGCTTGGCGGAACAGGATCTGAGATTCCAAATTTTGGAGACCGCAAGCTATGATGGCGTGCTCATCTGGAAAATAAAGGATTTTCAACGTCGTAAGCGGGATGCAGATTCTGGCAAAACTTTGTCGCTGTACAGCCAGCCTTTCTATACAAGCCGCTTTGGTTATAAGATGTGCGCCAGAGTGTATCTCAACGGAGATGGTATGGGAAAGAATTCACACGTTTCTCTCTTCTTCGTTGTCATGAAGGGAGACTATGATGCACTTCTTCCTTGGCCATTCAGACAAAAGGTAGGGAAGTTTTTGATTTCAAACATTGTTATTTTGTATAGTTTCATTCTAATGTTTACCTCAGAAAGGAGAACAGAAAACCAACAGGAAGCTGACCTCAGAACTGTGTTGTAAATCGTTGACGTATAAAGAACAATTTTAATATCAAGGTTTATTGAGGGTGATCAAGGTCATTGATGCTATTCACCAAAGGTAGCTGTAATTTTTTATGATTGCAAAAGATACAGTAGTTACACAGTCCAGCACATTAAAACAGTTAGCAAGCTAGATAGAAATGATACTATGCATGATATCAGAGCCAATAAGTGGTTGTAAAGCAGGATTTTTACACTATTTAACAATCACAGAAGGATTTATATGGAAAAATATTACGGTACATTACAATACTACCTAACATCACAACTTGAGTGTCCTTTAATGTTTTTTTTGTACTCTAGTTATAAAGAACAGGATCCTAGTTTTGTAGTAAAAGAATCAAAGAATAAATTCTAACAGGCTCATGCAGTCTACCTTGTTCAAGTCAATATATAGAAAATGAATATATGAAGTTGACTGACACAAATTTTAATAATAATATGCTCAAAATTTTCCTGCCAACGCGCGTAATGGTGTAAAGCTAAAGCTACTCGACACAACTGACCTCAACTATTTGAGGGTAGCGCTCATGTAAATCGCATGTTGTAATAATTGTCGCACTTTGTAATACCTGTCGCACTTTGTAGTAACTGTTGGCAGACTTTGTAATAATCAAGCTGTCACAATTTGTAATAGCTGTCTGTCACACTTTGTAATATGTTGAGCTGTTGCACTCTGTAATAACTTGTTTCATTTAATTATCGTATAACTTTTAATGGATAAAAAAACATATTATAGAATGTTGCATATTATGGATGACTAATACTAAAAGGTCAAGGTCATATACAAGTTTTAATAATAATTTGGATTATAATTAAAACAATGATTTCAAAAATATATTTAGAAAATGTAAATACTAACACTGATAGATTTTGGTTTGCTAAAAACAGTTATTGTCTCAAAACTATTTAATACTTGGTTGTTTTACTATTATTAAATACACAATTACTAAACAAAGTTAACATATATTAAATATATATAGCCGAAAATATAGAAAAAGTAAAAAAAAAACTAAACAATTTGTAAAAACCAGTCAAATATTTGTAAGCTTTTGCATTGCTTCAAACATTTCTCATAGTGCAATACATAATACATTCTATAATATCAACTACACTAAAATATTGTATAATGTAAACAGTTTACCAAGAGGGGGATATTTTTCTTGAAGCTCCATGGAACACTTTCGAGGGAGGGATTTTGAGCGGCACCCAGCCATGCCCACTTTTTTTTGTCATCTGGGAAATCGCTTCCCACCTCGCCCCCGTCGGGGACCTTGGACCCCCCCCCCGGGCAAAACGTGGCACCACTACTAGTAGTATCATGCACATGCGCAACAGGAAACACTCCGACAACATATGCTGATTTTTGGCTACGTGCAACGCTGCCAACAAAATAAGAAAATGGGTTAAGCTTCTCAATACGAAGGTCGAGAGACGAGACAAAATGAACGAAGACCAAGGCTATAGTTAATAAATCTTTGGAAGAGTTATACAATAACAACAACAATTACGCACCTCTGTCTACAGTTATTTTTTATTTTCAATTAACAGTGGCCCACTTTACAATCGATAAAGAAATTACATATTATAAAAATGTTCAATCCAACGTGGTCTAACCATTAGAAGGGAAAATATAAGTAGAATTAAAATAAATCAATAATTATATTATAATATAATATACAACATTTTACAATACCACTTAACATGAGTTACATGTTGAATAAACACTATTTTTTCAATGGTATTAAGAAAAAATATTAATGAAGAATAAGTAAATTTAAAAACTGACCTGACTGTATATGACCTTGACCTTGTAGTATTAGTCATCCATAACATGCAACATTTTACATGTTTTTTCATCCATTAAAAGTTATAAGATAATTAAATGAAACAAGGTAATACAAAGTGCGACAGACTTTATTACAAAGTGCGACAGCTCAGCGTATTACAAAGTGCGACAACAATTATTACAAAGTGCGACAGGTATTACAAAGTGCGACGATTATTACAAAGTGCGACAGTACAGCTCATGCCAACTTTCACTTGCAGTCGCGCAACTACAAGCAAATGTTAGTTACCCAAATTGCTTTTGTTGCTTCCAACTGTAAATTATCTACAACTGGTTGCCAACGTTACCATAATTTGATACAAATTTAGCACATCAACACATGTTCAGTGGTGTAGCTATGGGGTAGTGCAGCTAGTGCAAAGCACTGGGGTACCGGGCTATTAGGGGCCTATTCATAAATAGATCTAAAAATAATTTAATTTAATTTAATAATGTTTTGAAGAAAAAAATGGCCAGCAGGCCCCTCAATAATATTTGGTTTTTACAGGAGTAATTATTGATTATTATGTTGATTACAATTCAGTGGTGTATTCAACTATGTCCCAGCTGCCCCGGTCCCCACTTGTTTTTTCAAAATTATTTTTTAAAATTGGGAAAAAAGGGAAATTATTAAAATTTTCAACCTGAGAGGGCCATTTCCGACCATCTAGAGGTGCTATAATTATAAATTTTCTTCACCCTCCACCTGTAAAAATCACTCCCTGCTCCCAGTGGCATCACCAGCGGGGAGCAGGTGGCTTAAGCCCACATAGGACAGGTCAAGTCCACTCCCCTCACCGGCCAGACCTCATAGGGCAGTCGGACCAACAAAAAAAAACAACACACGAGAGTGCCATTTTTGGCTACCCAGAGATACCTATTTTTTTATTTTTTTTAAAATCTCATTTACGAAACCTTTAGAGAATTCGTCTATCACATCAAAGTGCCAGGCAATTAATCTTGCACTGGTGCCCTTTCCCACCTACCTACGCCACTGAACATGAGTCTTCAATTAGCTTCAGTTGCTTTGGATTGCAGCAAAATAGAACATAGACTTGAACTGAAAGCAACCGGCCTAAAATCACTGTTGCTGATAAGTTTCCAAAGGTCAGTTGAGTCGAGTTGCAAAGGCGACATAAGCTTTAATTAATTTTTTTGTTTTTCAAACCAGGTACAAGATACCATGTAAAGCATTTGCGCTTGCATTAAAAAGTTTTGACGTTGCCTACTCTACGCACTTCCACGACAAATTATTGATGTTGCCTACAGGCTTGCTTGAAAAATAGATGTTGCCTACATGCTTTTGCGAAAGTTGTCGATGTTGCCTACGTGGTTGGTCAAAAAATTGTTGGTGTTGTCTACACACTTGCGTGAAAAATTGGAGACATTGCCTACACTTGCAAGCGTGTAATTGTTAAGTTTACTAGCATGTAGCATGCGTATTTACCATAAGGCCATGTTTGCGCAGCACTGATAATTTCTCCAAAAAATTTTCTTAAAATTCCCTCCAAATATTTTATCCCATCATGCAAAATTATGGACCACAATGCTGAGTGTTCAACATCAAAATATCCTTTTTGTTGACCCAGCAGGTGCCCACCCCTTTTTTGCCGCGAGATGGATAGTCCAAAAAATTGTTTGGTACTATTGGGAGATGTCTAACACATAGTGTTTCAGTGTAGCTATGAAGAGATTGAGAAGAAGACAAAAAAGAATACTAACTTTGTTTGGTGTACTTTACGGTACAACTAATAAACGATATTGACAAACCTAGGCCCAGAGTAGCTAGGTGGCACCGGTGATGTCAACCGCAGCCGTATAAAGCTTTTTTATATTTAATAAGCCTGGAAAATTTACTTGCTATTTATTAAGTGTTTGATACTAGGCCTACCTACTTGTTGCCTTAGAAACTTTCAACAACAACAAAGAATTTTTGCCATGGTACAAAAAGAATTCTTTACATGTACTGTGAATTTTTGTTATTTATTTTTGCATTTGAAGGTTTTTCCGATCTGATTATCCGATTCTCATCCAATAATTTATCAGAAATATTTGGCCCTGATTCTGCAGCGAAAAATAACAAAATGCCTGCTTTCTGATGATAATCAGGTAATAAGTGCTGCTGAAACATGGCCTAAAATATAAACAGGAGGTTTCCATTTTCTCGTGCACTACAGTGAGCAAGCAAACGAGCGAGCAAAATTGCAAGCAGCCATTTTTTGCATATTCAGAATATTTGTACGTTTTAAATACTATATTTTTGCCTCGCCAAGTCAGCTGGTCATGGGTATTAATACGTACAGGAAATTACAATAAGATTAAAGAAAGCTTATTTAGCTGGACCAAACTTGGGAACTTTGTTGTTATAACAATATAACCTACCTACTGAAATTATTCTTTATTCATTTTACCATGTAGGATATACAATACAGTACATTGTTAGTGTATCCAAGGACACAATTGGGCATTCCAAGTTTAAATAGATTAATACACATACAGTATAGAAACTAAGTATAACATCTCACAAATTCAGTTCTGTGGCAAATGTATTGAAAGCCTTTCATGACAATTTCGAAGGGGTTTTTAGCTTGAAAATCATCAATCAATTCATCTACTGGTAAGTGCATTTGTTTTATTGTATGGGCATTTTTATAATTCAGTACTTTTTTTTTTAATTCTAAAACTATTAATATTATCTCATTATTATACCATTCTTCTCTGTATTGTTTGATATATAGTAAATACTACTGGTTCATTGATTGATTGATTGATTGATTGAATGTTTTAGTATATAAATAAAGGAATAATCAACACATTTAGAGATTCAGGTCTCAAAAAGTTAAACACTTTAAGGTGCCAGTAGTTATTCATTCACTAGCTCACTAAAACTTCTATTACTACTTCTTTAAAAATGGTTTTATTTCTTCTTCATAGTGATCAACTACTGCTACATGAAGATTATTAGCCTATAACATCAAGGAATTGCTTTTTATCATCCACATTCTGGTTAGCTGCAGAATATGTAGAAAGGTGAAATC